CACTTTACAGTGTATTCTGTGAAGTGGTTTGGGAAGTCTCGAAGACGTGATGAGGCACTGTATCAAATGCAAGGATTATTATTATTATCATTACGTGAAAGAGCCCATGGCACTATTCGAAGAGAAAGTTTCTCCCGGCGCCCTGCAAAAGCCAGAACAGTCCTTTTTAAATGTCTTGGGCCACGTTCACGCGGGACAAGTGTGTGAGGAGTCGGGTCACCATGCAGTCTGCCTTACGCCAACATTAAAGGGAGTGAGGAGCAGAGTTGGATTAGCTCAGATAATTCATGTGAAATCTCCAAAGCCTTGCTCCTCCCTACTTCTGTGACCTGCTAACTCCACACCGACCTGTCCGCTCCCTCTGCTCAGCGGGCTCCGGTCTGTTCCACATCTCCCGACCGGCCTGCTCCACCATGGGTGGTCGGACTTTCAACCTTTCTGCCCCCACCCTTTAGAACTCCATCCCACAGTCCCTTTGCCTCAACCCTCCAACTTATTTTTGAAGACAGAATTAAACAATTTGCCAAATTCTGGGCACTGAAATGCTACATAAGCAGAGGATATCTAGACCCAGATAGAATGTCTCCTTGAAAGAACTATTTCATTACAGCCCCATGCACTTTTTTCTTTTGAAGATATTTGTCCAATTTATCGTTTAAATAGAGAAGAGAGTTTCTCCTGGTGTCCTGGCTAACAATCCCGCAAAAAAATAGGTTGCCTGGTTCTGTGCAAATGGGCTACCGCCTTCACCTATAAAATACAGTCTCTACACTTCACAGTGTTATCCTGTGAATGCTTTGCGATGCCCTTCTGAATGTAAAAACGCACTATATCAAATGCAAGGGTTATATTTAATTCCCTCTTAGGGTGGTGCAGGTGTAGGTTTAACTCTTGCAAGAGCTAATTAAGAATGTATTTCTGCATGAACAGTCCTGCAGTATTCCATAAACTGCATGAGATGTCAGGACAGGTACCCTGACAGGAGCCCAAAGTGAACTGGATGAGTTAGATGGTGGATGGCTCTGGTGAAAGGAAGGGAACGATGGTTAGAAACAAGATTAGGAAACATTCTTGGTTCAGAGGGTTGGAGAAATGTGGAGTGCACTGCCCCTAAAGGCCACACACAGAATGGAATTGAATGGGATATTTAAAAGAAAGACATACTTAAAAAGTGAGGATTTTTTTTAGGGGTATTAAGGGATATATATGGGAGTACAACAATCAAGGAATCAAGAAGGATGAGACGGCTGCAATTGAGGAGCAAGTACACTTGTTAATACAATGGGTCAGATGGCCTCCTTAAGCCCTCTGAGATGCCATCCAGCATGAAGGGCACTATATAAATGCAAGTTGTTGTTGTTATAGGTTTCTCTGGTTTTATTTGTTTTTTGGGAGCTTGGAATCATGCAGCATGACTCGTAGCTTAGTTTTGTTCTGAAGTCCATTTCCCCCCACGCACAAAACAGGTCATTTTTCACTAAACATCTTCAGAGGAAAAGTATCGCTGTTTTCGTGGCACAAACCCATCGAACACATAAATTTTCTCCTGACCTCGCTGACTCTGAACTGTTGGTACACACTGGATACTGATAAAACAGGACTAATTGCCAGGAAAAGTGTTATCCTGAGAACTTTTTATAGTCTGTCTATTTTTACACCCAGTAAAATTTGGCCCAACTTTTTGCCGTCTTGTTTATGTTTAACAGCTGTTTGCACGTTTCAGAAAATTCCTTGTTTTTGACCATTTTAATCCAAATATTCCTGGAACCCCAGGAATATTTGGTAGTGTGGCTCCTGGTGTGGAACCTCCTTGTGCTGAGGTGTCCTGATTGCTGTTACCCCACACAGGAGGATATTGATGTGCGAGCCTTTGCAGTGAGTGTGGGAAGGCCTGTGTGGAGGCCGTTGAAACCTGACCTCCACCCACCCGGCTGCCACGTTGCCAGTAGAGTGCGATTAGTTTACATGGATCCATTGAAGAAAAATGATCTAATTGACCTAATTCCTGGGTGGGGCAAAACCTTAGGTAGGTTTCCTTACTCCACACTTCTGTTTACTGAGCAGTGAGTAGGAACCCAGTTGTTCATCGATCGCTTTCCAGGGGTAATAACCCCTCAAAAAATAAATGAATAAATAAATTTTGGTCACTCAATCCATGACTGTTTGCGGGACACTGCTGTGTGCAATTGGCTTCCGTGTTTCGCCCACAGTGGATTGTAAAGCGCTTTTGAGACGTCTTAATGACATAAGGCACTATATCAAATGCAAGGATTATTATTATAACGGGCTGTTTCTGCCTGTCACATTCTGAGACTGATCTCATATCTCTCTCTCCTTCTTTAAGGGAGATGTCTGAGCCCCTATCTTAATTCAATGACTCCGTACTCTGGGAAGCACCAGAACCATTTAAAAATTCGGCACCATGTTAAATTTTTAAGATTTACTCGAGAAATCTTTGACTGGCGTTTCACTTACTGCAGAAACTCGAAGAGATTGGCATTAATGGATCTGCCGTGATCCAATAAACCGACAGAACAGCTTCTCTACAGGCTGAATGGGCTTCTCCTGTTTCGGTGCTGCACAGCAGCCAGCTTACTGCTTCTCAACGGCCAAGTCGCAAATCTGAATAGCGTTTTAATAAGCTTTAGCGTGATGTAGTGCTGTCATAACATAAAAGGCTCCAGTGCAATTTATTACACTGGTAAATATGCCATAAAAAGGATTGTTTGAGAACCGTTACTGCTGCTTTATTTATTGTCTCATTAGCGTCCTGCTTTACGATTGATCTTTCGTTCAACATCAGCCTCGTGCTTCCTGGAGCTGCTCTTTAGTGGACAGATGCAATTGACCAACTCAGCTTTACCTCCAGCCGTGGTGTCAGCTTATAAATTCAATGTCTGCCATTGTTCAGCACTGAACGCACTCGTTCGGGGTGGGGGGGGGGAGATCAATGGGGGCTGTACCCCTATATCAGGGAGTTCTCTGGCAACTACATTGGCTGTGATACCAGCACACGAACACTCTGGATACGCTTTAATGTTAGTCCCCAGCCCTGCCCCCCCACCCCAGGACACGCTGCTTCAGAGTATTAATGCAAGCTTTAATTTTTCTTGCAGGTTATATTGCAAGTGCATCAACCTGGCACAGCTAATAACTACTGGTGTCTGGGATAGAAACTTGTGGGTTCAAAATCCCTGGTTCAAAACCAGGCCATGGGCTCATTCCAGGCTGATGCCCCACACACCGTTATTGGATGTGCCGTCCACAAAATATAAAGTCGATTCACTTTACAGTATATCCTGTGAAGCACTTTGAGACATCTCAAAGACGTGATAAGGCGCTATATCAAATGCAAATATTATTATTATCTGTCGGCATTTGGCTGAGATGTAAATGCAGGTTTGTTCAGGTTGATATTAAGGATCCAGTAGTTATTTGAACGAGAGCAGAGTTCACCATTTTGTTTGTGTGGATAGCCAGGCGCCTGACACCAAAAAAGTCAGCTCCAGGCTTAAGATTCTCCAAATCAAATGACAAGGGTTCCACAAACTACATGTACATGTTCCCTTTCTCTGGCAGAGTTTGCTCTCTTTTCCCCACTTTTTAGTTAAGCACTCTGCTTATCACATTCAAGGCCCTCCACGGCCTTGCCCTTTCCTATCTCTGACCTGCTAACCCCATATCAACCTGTCTACTCCCTACGCTCAGTGGGCTCCGGCCTGCTCCACGTGCCCCGCCCAGTGGTTAGGAGTTTGTCAAGGACCAAGGCTTGGGGATCGCAGAGTGTGTGCCGGGTTACTGCTGGTGTTTCACCAGCAAAAACGTCACAACCTAATAGGACCTCTTCATCGGATATAACTTTGGCTTACAGGTTTTTCTGGAGCTGAGTGGGAAGAATCCTTGCTCTCAGAGAGTATCTGCTGCTCCAAGTTTTGCCAGTGACTAGCTGGTCTATCATCAAAGCCTTGGAGTATTGCAAACTCGCCTGAAACAATCGGAGAATTAACTCTGTATTTGATGTTCGTGAGAGTTGCAGGAATGATGAACTAAAAAAAACACCAGCTAATGTCACACAACAGCTGGTGAGTTTAAGCGGGAGCGAGAATTCTTGGCCATAACAGTTGTACGTGAAACAACAGCACCACCTCCAGGCAACACCTATGCTCAGCATAAGAGCAGAGAGGCACGGGTACTGAAGCTAACATCCTTCTGTTAGGGAAGGCTCCTCCGTCGCTCTCCCAGCACCTTATCCAAATGCTGTAAGGACCAGGAAGATATCCCCCAGAGGATAGAGATCAAAATCCTCATCCTCGCCTTCAAGGCCCTCCACAGCCTTGCCCCTTCCTACCCCTGTAATCTGCTGACCCCATATCAAACTGTCTGCTCCCTATGCTCAGCGGGCTCCGGCCTGCTCCACATCTCTCGCGCGGCCCACTCCACCATCGGCGGCCAGGCCTTCAGCTTCTCTGCACTCACCCTCTGGAACTCCATCCCACATTCCCTCCATCCCTTGGCTACTTCAAGACCCTCCTCTTCATCCGAGCCTTCGGCCATCCTCCTACCCTCCCTGACACCAGCCCCAACTACCCCTCCACCCAGCTCGGGTCCAAATCCCTTAACTGTCCAGCGCCTTGGGACACCCGCCTGACATGAAGGACACTGTGTAAATGTCATTTTGTATTGATTGTTTGAATTCTGCTGTTGTACCGTTAAGATCACCACTCTCTTAAGTTTGGTTGCCCAGGGGCCGCAGAATTCAGCTTTGCCCGGAAACCGTGGACCCATTGGTAGTGGACTGAGTTAGGAGCCACAGTTAAGACAAGCTAAAGCTCTTCAGTCTTGAAGATGTCTCAGAGGGACATTATAGAGGTGTATAACATTTTATAAAATTTTCGTTGCCATTTTTTTAACCGCATTTCAGCTCTGGTAAAGCTGCAGCAATCCCAAACAAAAAGCACAATCAAAAGCAGAAAAAACAGTCTTGAAACCTGGATAGTGATTTTAAATCATTTTAAGTTAGATAGATTTCTGTTAGAAAATATTTCGGGATACAGCATATAATTTGGGACACGACATATCAAGCGACTGCCATGAATGGTGGAAGGCGAACTCGATGGACCTTGGTCTTCTTTCGCCAGCAAATGTTCTTCTGTTCTTATGTTCTTCTGCTCTTAAGTCACTGCATTTATGGTGCAAATGAAAGTCCTGAAGTGGGGCTCGAAGCCACAGCCTTCTGATTCAGAAGCGAGAGAGTGTGAGCAACTGAGCGAGGCTGACATCTTAAAAGGTTAACAGTTCATCTAAGTTGACTTGCAACTGAAGCAGAAGGTTGTGGGTTCAAGCCAAGCCTTGCAATTGGTAGCTGAGTCTGAGACGATGTTCCAGTGCACTCCAAACCGGGGAGTCAAGTTTGCACAAAGTTCTTTGCGTGTTATATTCTCATTTATTGACCTCTGTGAATCCATACTGTTTGAGGAGGTCAGGGGAGCTTGTGGGAGGCATAAGAAAGGGCAGTAAGTCGATATTAATCGTTTTTTTTAGTGAGAAGTGAATAGATGGGTGGAAGCTCATGTGGAATATGACCGGATCAATTCCGAGTCCTATCGCTCTCTGTAACACTATTCCGTCCGTATCTGGTGAGTTACTGTTGTACGGTTACATCTTTTCCTGGGTCCTTCTCCGCTGGGAGCAGCGACACAGTCGCCTCCTTCTTCGACAGGTAAAATGCGGGATAGAGGGGCTCGGTGAACACGGCGTTAAACTTGTACAGTAGTGTCATCGTCTCGGCAGCGACCCCGTAAAATGCCAGCGAGCGTCCCCGGTAATCCAGGTACACCCCGATCCTGTGGAAGTCCCCAGCTAACCCGGACACCTCCGTGTCCCCGTGCCAGGCCGAGAAATCCCTGCCCGTCCACTGCAGGCACCAGGAGAAATCGTTGCCCGTGATGCAGCTGTTGCTCTCCGCTCCCTTTCGGTCGATGCTCTTGTAAGTCACCCCGACGTACGTGCCCTCCCCGCTGATCGTCACCTCCCAGTAAGAGCGAGCCATGTAAAAGCTCTCGGTGCAGAGAATCTGCCGCCAGTGCTCAAACCTCTCCGGGTCCTCGGGGTACGGCTGCAGCCAGGGGCTGGTGTTGGAGACCTTGCGATTGCCTTCCACCAGCCGGAGATACTTGTGAGCCGTGTTTGAGTCAAACACCAGGCTGACTGCGTCTGTGAAAGGTGAACACACAACTGTAATAACTACTACTAATAAATTCGGTCACTTCAATCCACGACTGTTTGTGGGACGCTGCTGTGCGCAATTGGCTGCCGTGTTTCACCGACAAAATATACAGTCAATGTCCCGAACTTTGCACAAGGGCTAATGGCACATTGCGCTTTACAGGGGAACCCTGAGCAAAGTGTGAGGAACAGGTTGGAGGGAGTTGACCGAAGAAAGAGGTTATAATTATCCTTCCATTGGGAGGGTGTTTCAAAGCACTTCACAGGATACACTGTAAAGCATAAAGACTTTATTTTGTCGGTAAATGAAGCAGCCAATGACATATTGGTCAGGACACTGGGAGAAATTCCCTTCTCTTTTTGAAGAGTGCCACAAACAAACAAGACCTCGGTTTAATGTCTCATCCAAAGGATGGAACTTCTGACCATGCAGCACACTCCCAGCTCTGCATTGGTATGCGATGGACTATATGAGGAGGTCAAAGGCCTGACGCAAGCTTCTGACTCAGTCTAGCTCAGTTGATAGCACTGTCCTCTCTGACACCCACAGAACTCAGAAGGTGGTGGTAAAGGAAAACGTCATCAGGCATTGCTACCAGAATGTTACCAGTGAAGTTCCACAGGGGTCTGTTTTGGGATCTCTTTTATTCAACATCTTCACAAAGGACCTGGAGCTCGGAGTCACAAGCACAGGGGCTAAGATTGCAGACAACACAAAGCTAATGAAGGTGGTAAACTGCAAAGATGAACAGGAATTGGGCAGATCGATGACAGATGAAATTCAACGTAGAGAAACTCAAAATGCTTCACATGAGGACAAAAAATCCAGGAAAGGGATGATTATTTAAATGGGAAGAAAATGATCTGTAAGAAAATGAAAAGGACCTGGGGATCCTGATTGATAATAATTGAAACTATCGCAACAGTGAAACTCTTTGAGATGTCTCGAAGACGTGATAAGGCGCTATGTCAAATGTAAGGAGTATTATTATTATTATTATAGCAGTGCTCGGGAGCAGTGATTAACGCAAACCTGAGGCTGCGCTGTATTAAAAGGGCAATATTGAGCCAAAATAGTGGGGTAATCCTGCCACTTTATAAATCACTAGGGCAACCGCATCTGGATTACTGTGTGCAGTTCTTGTCACTGTAATAGATAAGGGATATTGCAGCGATTGAGAGGATTGAGGAGATGGAGGGACTGGACTATGAGGAGTGATTAGATAAACTGGGCATGTTCACACTGGAGAAGAGAAGGCTGAGCAGTGATATGATTACGGTCTTTCAGATTCTGAAGAGACTCAATATTGTAGACCAAGATTTACCTTGTACTGAACAGTAGAACCAGACGACACGGCCTGCCATTGGACGTTAAAAGATCCTGTGGCGCTATTCAGAAAGCTACAAGAGTTTCTCTCTCCTGGTGTTCTGGCCAACAATCCCGCAAATAAAATGGTCACTCACTCTGTGGCTGTTTGTCGGACATGACGTGGCTGCCACGTTTCACCCACAAAATACACACATAGTCACTCCACTTCGCATTATAGCCTGTGAAGCGCTTTGAGAAATCTCGATGACATGATAAGGTACTATATCAAATTCAAAGATTATTATTATTATTATTGTCGAGTTGAATTGCTGAGGCAAAAAAAAAAGTGTTAAGAAGCTCACATTTCTGGAAGTCACTGACAGACGTGGGCTGTGGGGCCGTAATCCAGTGTTCTGCAGGACAGATCACAGCCACAGTCGTTTTGAAGCCACAATTCTCTGCAGAAACAGAAACGAGAGTAAACAACAGCAGCACATGCTCGGATATCAGGTCTCCACCCCACACACTCGTGATTTATTCCGGGAATAGTGTTTACTGTGTAAACCATGTGTACAGGCAGAATTATAGATGCCTTTTAAATATACGTTAAAACCTGCTTTGAGACGACTCGAAGACGGGATAAGGCACCATATCAAATGCAAAGATTATTATTGTTTTACTAACTAATTCAATTTCCAATTTCTTTTCGTTGTTTAATTACATAGAGAAGGTCACCTGTAATTCACTCTGTATACACGCGGTTTACATGATGAAACATTCACACACGGAATGTAGGGGAGAAATTCTACTTTTTAAAAAAATATATAGCGATGAAGAGGCTGCGTTGCCAGGAATAGAAACGAGACTCACCTGCCTTGGCACACGTCATCAGCTTCTCTCTGTAGGACGTTTGGAGCAGCTGTTTAATGCTGTCCGACGTTTCACACACGGTCTTGCTGATCCCAGCGAGCTTGTCGATCAGACCAATGTACACACTGGGCAACAAGTCATCCCCGTGGCTCTTCTTCCATTCACAAAATTCCTTTTGTTTTTAATTTAAAAAGAAAAACACAAAAAAATGGCTGTGTTAAAGTTACAAATGTTGTAGTTTGAGTACCCTGAGCCCTCACGAGCTGAACAGAAAATTCTTTTTCATGTCAGGAGGATGTCTCAGTGCGCATCCCAGGTTATACTGTAAAGTGGAGTGAGTGTGCTTTGTGGATGAACAAAAGATAACATCAGTGGCGGTGTTAGTACAGCCCTGGTATGGTGGAGAAAGAGCAAGTCAATTTATTTGTTTTTGTCTATCTTTCTTTGCCTACCTGTGTGTGTACGTCTGTCTGTCTCTGCCCCTTTCTCTCTTTCTTTCTCTGCCGGTTTATCTCTCTCTGTGACTTTCTCTCTGTCTCTCTCTCTCTCTCGTTGAAGGGATAACAATTATAAGGTGATCTAAGGACCCATCCTAAACCACAGACCTTTGCACTCTGTGTCTTTCTGGTCTAGAGACTGCCCCAAAAACCCGCTGTGCAAAGCGCTTTGAGACGTCCTCCTGACATGAAAGGCTCCAGGCAAACTGTGCTGATTCACCTGCAGAAACTGCACGGTGTTTTTCCTCGTCCCCAGCTCCTTCATCTGCTCCTTGGTCTTTCTTAACTCCTCGCACTTCTGCTCGAGGTGAGCCCGGATACCTTCCGCCTGTTTGAGGGACGCCCCCTCCTCCTTCTCCAGGAATTCCATCACCTCGAGCCGGGCTTTCTGGACGCATTCTGTCACCTCGTTGAACTGCTTCTCGACGCAGGACTTCACTTCCGAGACGGAATTCTAGAAATGGAGAACGTGTGCTTTTTAAAATAATTTTTTTTTTGAAAACCTGATTTGTTTCCGAGTTCCATTTCTCCCTTCCAAGATCCCATGGCGCCACGCGATGAAAAGATAAGAGCGTTTCTCCCGCTTTCACCTAGATAAAATTGGTCGCTCACTCCACGGTTGTTTGTGGGACATTGTGGTCAGCTTTTGGAGTCTCTCTCTCTCTCTTTCTCTCTGCGCTGAGGTGACAGGGCCGGGCTCGGCCTGGGGTGGAGGAGCTGCCACAGTTCAGGTTGGCCCTGGCCGAGCACAGAGAGGACCCTGATACTCCACAGTGGATCCAGGGCGGGGTTGGGGGTGAGAGGCGATGAGAGAGGCGATGACTTACGGCGATGGAGGCCCTGTTGGTTTGCAGTTTCTCGATCGCGTTCTCCACGGCTTTGAGCTTCTTCTCGATTTTGGTTTGTGACTCCAGCAGCTCTCCCTGCGGGAACGTCAAACCATTGGTCAGCAAAACATCTGCACACTGGACTCTCCAATGCACAACTGAAGACAGTTATACAGACTGTTAGGATAGTAATAATAATAATAATCCATGCATTGGATACAGCACCTTATCGCGTCTTCAAGACGTCTCAAATCGCTTCACAGAATTTACTGTAAAGTGAATTGGCTGTACATTTTGTGGGGAAAACACGACATCATTTTATCATATCAAATAGGCAATTTCCACCACACCCGCCTCCCCCACACACACCCTCAATGGTGCATCCGATCCACAGGGCTGATAGTCCAGCACACAGCGTACCATCTCGTCACTCTTCCATCTCTTCATCATTCTGTGTGTGTCCATCCTCCCCTCTCTATCTATCTCTTTAATCATCTGTCTCTCTCTCACGCTCTCTCTCTCTCCCTTTCCTCCTCAGCACCCCACCCCCCACCCCCACCCCCCCACCCCAGGTGAAAAGTCGCCATCTTGTGAGTGAAAGAGAGGGTATCATCCTCCCAATGACACCCCCCACACAGTGGCTAAAACCTACACAACCCTTCCTTGTGTCCTTTGGCACCTAAACCATTTGCTGGAGCTAAATATTTTCCTCCCACACGTCACCTTTAGGATCTGCTCCTCGCTCCTGATAAACGGGAATGTCTGCCAGCCACGTTGTAACTTGTCCCTCAACATGACCCGCAGCCCGGGCTGAGCCCGGACGTGCAGTAAACAGGCAATATTTTGATTCTCCACAGGGATGTGAGAGAGCCCTGGCACCTCCCTGCCTCTCCAACCTGCTTATCCCCAACGCAACCGTCTCCGACCTTCTGCTTGTCCATCGGTGGCCGCGCTCTCCGCCACGACGCCCCGAAACTCTGGAACACTCTGCCTCTATCCCTCCGACTTGCCCCTTCCTTCCCCGTGTTAAGGTCACTCATGAGGACCTTCCTATTCGACCGTGCCTCCGGTCACCTCCCAACCGCCCACCCCTCTCCCTGCTCCACCACCGTCAGGCGCTCTGGGACGCCACCCTGCGTGAGAGGGCGCGGTGTAACTGCAGGTTGTCGTCGTTGTTGAGTTTCTCAGCGCGGACCGTTCGGCCGACACTCTCACACTCGCTGTCAGTCAATCACTCTATCCATCGCTCAACAACACTTGCAATTATACAGCGCCCTTCACAACAGGGTACACCACCCCCCCCCACCCGCCCGGGGCTCACCCCCCACCCACCCAGGGACCACCCTCCCCACCCGCCCGGGCTCCCCCCCACCCGCCGGGACCACCCTCCCCACCCGCCCGGGCTCCCCCCCACCCACCCGCCCGGGACCACCCTCCCCACCCGCCCAGGGCTCCCCCCCCACCCACCCGCCCGGGGACCACCCTCCCCACCCGCCCAGGGCTCCCCCCCCACCCGCCCGGGACCACCCTCCCGGGGACCAACCGCCCGGGGCTCCCCCCACCCACCCGCCCGGGACCACCCTCCCCACCCGCCCGGGCTCGCCCCAACACCCACCCGGGGACCACCCTCCCCACCCGCCCGGGGCTCCCCCCCCACCCACCTGCCCGGGGACCACCCTCCCACCCGCCCGGGCCCCCCCCACCCACCCGGGGACCACCCTCCCCACCCGCCCGGGCTCACCCCCCACCCACCAGGGACCACCCTCCCACCCGCCCGGGGCTCCCCCCACACCCACCCGGGGACCACCCTCCCCACCTGCACGGGGCTCACCCCTCACCGCCCCCCTACCCCCCCCCCGGCCCCCCCTCACCCCCCGCCCCCCTCCCTCCCCCCGGGCCCCCCTCACCGCCCCACCCCCCCGGGCCCCCCCTCACCGCCCCCCGGGCCCCCCTGACCTGTTTCTGGCCTCGGGCCGCGGTCACTGTGAGCAGTTGGTGCTGTGTGTGGGCCTCGGGGACGCACCGCTCGCACACACAGGTCTGGTCGGTGCTGCAGAAGAAGTGGAGCGGCCGCTGGTGGCGCGGACACCGCTGCCGCTCGATGTCCGTGACCGGAGCGATCAGCCGGTGGGTGTGGAAGGCCCTGTTCTCCAGGTGAGGCCGGAGGTGGGTCGGGCAGTAGGAGACCAGACAGGTCAGACAGGACCTGATGGCCCGGAGCTTCCCGGCCATACAGGAGTCACAGGCCACATCCCCGGGGCCCAGCGGCTCCCCCCCGGGGCCCAGCGGCTCCCCCCCGGGGCCCAGCGCCTCCCCCCCGGGGCCCAGCGGCTCCCCCCCGGGGCCCAGCGCCTCCCCCCCGGGGCCCAGCGCCTCCCCTCCGGGGCCGCCCGCCTCCCCCCCGGGGCCCAGCGCCTCCCCCCGGGGCCTCCCGCCTCCCCCGGGGCCCAGCGCCTCCCCCCGGGGCCTCCCGCCTCCCCCCGGGGCCCAGCGCCTCCCCCCGGGGCCCAGCGCCTCCCCCCCGGGCCGCCCGCCTCCCCCCGGGGCCCAGCGCCTCCCCCCCGGGGCCCAGCGCCTCCCCCCCGGGGCCTCCCGCCTCCCCCCCGGGGCCGCCCGCCTCCCCCCCGGGGCCCAGCGCCTCCCCCCCGGGGCCCAGCGCCTCCCCCCGGGGCCCAGCGCCTCCCCCCCGGGGCCTCCCGCCTCCCCCCCGGGGCCGCTAGCCCCGGGCTCGGGGCCTCCGCTCGGCCGGGGCTCCTCGGTGCCGCCGCGGGTGGAGCCTCGCCTCGCTCTCCTCCTGAGCCCGCGCTGCGGCCTCTGCTCCCCGAGCACCGTCAGGCCCGTCCCCCACTCCTCCAGCAGCCCCCGCAGGATGGCGTCCTCCCGCAGCGGCGCCATCGCCTCCAGCACCGGCCTCAGGCACTGCGGGCAGCGGCGCTCCCCGGGCCCCGGGTCAGGGTCAGCCCCGGGGATACGGTCAACCGTAGGGTTGGGGTCAGGCCCGGGGTCGGGGTTGGGGTCGGCCCCGGGGTCGGGGCTGGGGTCAGGCCCGGGGTCGGGTTTGGGGTCAGGGTTGGGGTCGGGTTTGGGGTCAGGCCCGGGGTCGGCCACGGGGTCGGGGTTGGGGTCAGGCCCAGGGTCGGAGTTGGGGTCGGCCACGGGGTCGGGGTTGGGGTCAGGCCTGGGGTTGGGGTCAGGCCCGGGGTCGGGGTCAGGCCCGGGGTCGGGGTTCAGGCTGTGGCCCGGGGTCAGGCCCGGGGTCGGGGTTGGGGTCAGGCCCGGGGTCGGGGTTGGGGTCAGGCCCGGGGTCGGGGTTGGGGTCAGGCCCGGGGTCGGGGTTGGGGTCGGCCACGGGGTTGGGGTCAGGCCCGGGGTTGGGGTCAGGCCCGGGGTCGGGCTTGGGGTCAGGCCCCAGGCCCCAGCAGCGCTGCAGGCAGCTCAGGCAGAAGTTGTGTCCGCAGGGGATGGTCACAGGGCAGCGCAACACGTCCAGGCAGATGGAGCAGATCAACTGCTCCTCAAACAGCAAGAGGCCCTCAGCGGCCATTGATGGGAGCCTTGGGTTGGGTTGGGGTTGGGTCCTGGTCAAGGCTCAGTTGGAAGATCTTCTCTCCAAAGGGAACCAAGAGGGAATCAAGCCGTTGCTTGAGGAAGGCTGAGCAGAGCTGAGTCTGAGCTTGCACTTGAGCTGTCAGAGGCTTTCCTTTTTTGTTTGTATCCCAAAGCAACCAAACAGCACCTCAAGACAAAATGCCAGACCGCTCCCTCCCCAAAGGTATTCGCCCGGACCCGCCCCGAACCTGTTTGTGATCTTCCCTCTTTGGCACAAGGAGTGGGAAATCTGCGTATCGAAGGTCTCCCCCACGCGCCAACCCTCTCCACTGTCAGAGCTTCGACGAGCCTTTCTGTATCCCCCACTCCCCACCCCCCACCCACCCCTCAGCCTCTCGGTAACTCAAATCCATCCCAGAGCCTCCCTGCCTCACCTCACCTCCCTTCAAGGCCCGTCTCAAGATACTTCGACCGTGCCTTTGGTCACCCTTGCCCTCCATCTCCCCCACCCACCCACCAACCAAGACTCCAGCCCGCAGCTCGGGTGCAAACCCTTGACTGTCCAGCGCCTTGGGCCGTCCTCTCGCTGTGAAGGGCGCTGTCTATATCAGACGCAATATGTTTTGTTTTGTATCAGGACTGTAACGTCACAATGCTTCACAGATAAATTGCTGCCAAATTGAGCCGGAGGGACAATTAATTAATTCGGAGTAGAAAATATTGGAAGCTCCCTGGGGAGAAGGAGGTATAGCTAAATATACAGTGACTCGTTCCAGCCCAGACCCAGAGACAATTACGTGGATATTGCAGGATTGTACTGTATTCTACAGATGTGATTGTTGCAGAACCTCATCAGGTGTGAACGTAGCACCATCTCTTGGTTAAGTTCTGTCGCTACGACTTGGACCAACATTAGCAGCTAGTTGGGGACTCGTGAGAAAGTCACTGATGAATGAAGGAAAAGAAGCCCTTTCTTCCAGCTGAAGGAGACTGGATTTACCTTCCTAAACTGTTGCACTACTCCACATGAGTGATGGCTGTTGGTTGGTGATAATAATAATAAAAATAATAATAATACTCGCATTTGATGTAGCACCTTGTCAAGACTTTGCTTCACGGAATACACTGCAAAGTGAATTGACTGTGTGGTTTCCTCTGCGGTGCAGGAAAATGCCTTTAAATTACTTTTCAAATTTTTCTCCCCATGCCTCTCCTCCTAGTCTGGCCTGCGCTTGCTGGGGTGTGGTTCCCTGGGTGATGGTTGCCCTCCAAACCCCACCTGAGTAGTCATTGTTGATCTGTGAGTCTTGGCAGTGAGTGTAGCAGGGCCACTCAGTCATAGAGCGCGTCAAAGCCAAGCCTGACCTCTCCCTACCCGGCTGCTACACATGTGCTACCAGTAGACGGTGCTGAAAGCACAGTACCAGAAGCCTCTGTTTGATTTTTTTGCTCCTTAACCCTGATAATTCTCCCTGTGCAAGTCCCAACTGACACCAGCAAGCATGGCAGGGACCAGGATTCGAACCAGCAAGCTCCTGGACCGAATTCTACAGCTCTTATCGACTGCACCATCATGGCAACGTAAGCGGTTTTACCTGGTCAGACCCCAGCAGTTACCCCAACGGCCATTCGGGAATCTCCAAGCCTTGCCTCTTGCCAACCTGCACCTAATACTTTCTGGGAATTAGGTAAGCAGGATGCTTCCCTCCAGGGAGAGAGAGTGAATTCCATTCCAACAATTTATCTCTCGAATTTCCATGTGTTGGTGGGATGTATGGAATTCTCAGCTAGGTTTGGAGACTCTTAAGCATTGTGGTGGTTTTCTGCATGTGTCAGACACCCGGCTGACCAAAAAAAGACTGGGAAAAATCTTCAGCCTTCTTCGGAAAATTCTTCTGATAACTCAATTCATGTAGGATTCTATGTAGCAGCACAGCATAAAAGGCCATTCAGTCCATCGTGCCTGTGCTGGCTTTCTGTAAATAATAATAATCCTTACATTTGATATAATGGCTTATTACGTCTTCGGGACGTCACACGGTGTTCCACAGAATATACTGTAAAGTGAATTGACTATTTTGCAGGTGAATCGTGTAGCCAATTGCGCACAACAGGGTCCCATAAACAGGTTGCTGGTGTTGAATTGAGTGACCAAATTATTATTACCCCTTTAAAAGCGATCCACCAATTGACCAACTACCAGGTTCCTACTTACTGCTAGGTAAAGTTGTGTGCAGTAAGGAAACTTGCCTAATGTTTCGCCCCACCCGGTAATCAAACTCGGGTCACTTGCAAAGTGAGTGCTCTAACCAATACGCTACATGACTCTGTTTAGTCCCATTGTACTACATTTTCACATCGCTGACCCCGTCCACATCTGAAACCACAATCCCCTTTAAGCAGGGCTTTTTACACTAGTACCATTTGCACAAAGACAATGTACTTGCAGTGGATTTCAGTTGTACATGGGTTAAAGGAATGAAATCAAGGTTCAGAGAAGAGCTGTATCCAATAGAGATTAATAATCTAAGGTGCTCACAAGGGAATTACTCTAATCTCAGTACTCTGGCTTTCCACATTTGTGGTATGTAATTTAGTCTCTTTGGTGTTTGTCACAATAATTGCTTACATTCAGGCATTACATTCCAGGAGTCCTGGCCAACATTCCCCAGATAAAATCATTCATTCACATCATGGCTGCTTGTGGGATATCGCTGTGTGCAAATCAACTGCCACGTTTGCCTACAAAATACACAGTCACACTTCGCAGCAAATCCTGCGAAGTGCTTTGAGACTTCCTCCCGATGTCAAAGGCACTATACCAAGTGCAAGGATTGTTATGTTATGAGAGGCAAGGCATCAGTATCTACTGATAACCTCCCTTTACCCAGCGAGACGCATCTGCGACTTATGATAATCCTTGCATTTGATACTTGTCACATTGTCAAGACATTTCAAAATGCTTCATAGGATATACTGTAAAGTGGTGTGGCTGTGTTTATTTTGTAGGCAAATGGGGCAGATGATTTTTGCAGAACAATGTCCCATATAAGAGCCACGGAGTGAGTGGCCAATTTTGTTTGGGGGATTGTTGGCCATGATGCCGGGAGAAGCTCCTCTTTTTGAATAGTTCCATGGGATCTTTAACATCTTTAACACCCGACAGGTAATCTTCGATGTAACGTCTCATCGGAGGGACGGTAACTCCGACAATGCAACACCCCCCCCACCAACCACCATGCTGTATTGGAGCATCAGCACGGATGGTATAAATTTCAGCTTCTAATGTGGGCTGGAACTCACAACCTTCTGACCCCGAGGCGAGAGCTCCTGACTGAACCAGCCTGTTTCATATCGATTTACTGACTAACGTAAACCAGTGCTGAGGCAGTGGGCGCCTGGAGCAGGGTGTCACGGGCTCATGTGGGCTGGGATTCAGCCCATTTTTTCGCCCGCAATCAAAGGCTTCCGAGAACCTTGTAGAGTTTATACCAGATTAGCGCAGATAGAGGTCGAGTCGAGAGACAAGCAATCAATAATTTTACTGAATTCCTTTGGCGCCTAAGACTTTGTCGAAATTAACTTAATGATATGAAACTCACCCGTGCCCCCAATGCCACGCACTGATCCTTCAATAACGAGTTTACCAGCTCACTGGCACATTATTATATTCAAAGTCGCTAACTCCTACGACCGGGGGTTTCCGACACTTGTAAGAGAAACAGCCTGCATCCTCGGCGAACT